AGCATAGGATGACAAAGTAAAATATTACAATGAAATGTGCAAGGACTGTTATGCATACAGATTGAAAAAATATTAAAATAGGATGCATCCCAGATGCACTCTTTGCTCGATTTTGAACCATGCAGTGTTTTCTTGTTCTGGTTCGATGACTGCTTCTTGGTCTAAGTATAGGTTTCATATTACTACACTCAAATGTTCTGGGATTTCCATTATTCTCAATGTTAGCCACAATTTGTTGTGATCTACACAGTTAATTGTCTTTGCACAGTCAAGGAAACATAAATAGACATTCCTTTGGTACTGTTTTCAGCCAAGATCCATCTGTCATTGGCAATGATGCCCCTTCTGCCATAACTTCTTCTAAATTCAACTTGCATTTCTGGTAGTTCTCTGTTGTTAGACCTTTCAAGTTGTTTTTGGATACTCTTCAGCAGGATTATTCTTTTCTGTGATACTATGGCTAAGGATACTCTTCAAAATATTGAAATTATTTCAGTGTGATATCTATATAAAGAAGTCTGGTCAAATGAGCAATATGAGAGGTCCAGTCAAATTAAACCTTTATTTCATGAGAATTTCTTGTTGATAGAGCAGTTAGGATGATTATTGGAAGCAAGAATAAAAAAGCTTCATTTTACATACTTCGGGCATGTTGGTAGGAGAGGCTATTCCTTAGAGAGGGACATCATATTTGGAAAACTGGAGGATCAGTGAAAAAGAGGAAGAACCTGGATAAGACAGGCTGAGACAGTAACTGCAGCAACGATCTCAAGTGTGCCAATGTAGCGAGGACAGTACAGGAAAGGCCAGGATTCAGATCTGTTGTTCTTACGGTGACCAGGAATCATACACGACTCAAAAGCACCTAACATCCTATGAAGAGGTCTGGTCCAATGAAACATTCATATTATAAGTATTAACTAAGGCAATCCTGTTTTATTAAAAAAAAAAAAAAACAAAACCAACAGTCAGAAAACACAACCAAACAACTTCACTACGATTGAGGTAATTCTGGCAAATAGTTATGCTCCATTGGATTGATGAGGGTGGAAATCTTTATAGGAGACTGCTTATCTTTCTTCATAAGTGGATGATGGATTCAAATATCTGACTTTTTGATTAGCAGTTCAACTCACACTATTCTGTTATGACCCTTTTTAGGTGCTTCTGAGGGGCCTATCACTCACAGCAAACCTATGAACAACAGATCTGAATGCTGCCTATCCTGTGCCACCCTTATCATCTCTGATCTCTTTGATTCCACTGTCACAATCACCATGTATATCCATCTTGTTGAGGGTCTTCCTCCCTTATACTGACCCTCCACTTTTCCAAGCAGGATGTCTTTTTCCAAGGACTGGCTCCTACTAGCAACATATCCAAAGTACATGAGACAAAATTTCACCATTCTTGCTTCTAAGGTCATCCTGGTTGCACTTTCTCCAGAACGTATTTGTTTGTTCTTTTGCCAGTTTATGGGATATTCAGTATTCTCCCATACCACAACTCAAAGTAACTAATTCTTCTGTCATATATAATCACTGTTCAACTTTCTGGTGCATAATAAGCAATTGAAAAAGAATATGGTTTGAATATTGTGTACCTTAATCTTTAAACTGACATTGTTGCTCCTCAGCACTGTGGACAGGTCCTTGACAGAAGATATTCCCAATGCAATATGTCTTTTACTTTATTGATTGCTGATACCAAGAGTACTGATTGTGGATCAAAGCAAAATGAAATTGTTGACAGTTTCAATTTTTACTCCATCTATCATGATATTGTCTATTTGTCTAGTGGTGAAGATTTCTGGTTTCTTGAAAAAAATAATTTACATTAAAGACTATAGTATTTCATCTTGTATTGAAAGCTTTTCACATCCTCTTCACTTTCAGCAAGCAAAGTTGCATCATAGTATATTGATAATTCTTCCTTTAATCCTAATGTCACATTATTTTTTAACAAAGATCAGCATCTTGAATGATTTGCACAACATACAGATTGAATAAGTAAGGAGAAAAGGCATAGCCCTAACTCACACTTTCTTGATTTTAAACCAAGTAGCTCTTTGGTCTAGGTATTGTTGTTGCTGAGTACTGTCAAGTCCTAAACAACCCATAACTGATTTCCCACCAGGTTTTCAAAAGTATTAAATTACACAAAAGAGACTGTCTATCTTCCTCTCATGAAGCAGCTGGTAGATTCAAACAGCATACCTTTAGGTTGGCAGCACATTGTCACTAAGCCATGAGAGCTCCCTGTGCTCTAGGTATGTGGTTGTGTACCACTGATTGGGAACTCACACATCACTAGTGAGTTTTCAGAAATACTAAATTTCAGGAGAGAAGATTATTCATCTTTCCCACAGAACAGTTGATAGATTCAAACACTAAGCATTTGAATTGATATCACAACTTTTTAGCATTAAACTACCAAAGCTCCCTACAATTCTATGTATATTGAAAGCATTGTAGGTATAGGTTTCATGAAATGTGTCATGACTTCTGTTCTCAAGAAGCTCTCATTTAAATAACATTTATGTAATCTCTCTTCAATTCACATAAATTAATTGAGAAAATTGATTATATCTTATATTGGAATCTGGTCCCTTACATCACAAGAAAAAGAAAAGTAAAAGAAGTATATCTTAGACTCGGGAAAATACATGAATTTTTAAAGTCTAAATTAGGATTAAAATAGGGCCAGTGACAAAAGGTTTCTGCACTTCTCCAAACTGAAGAAACTTCAGACAAAAGTAAAGAAGTTTAGCAAGAACAATAAATTACCGACCAGATTATTTTGTCTACATTTCTAATGGATCAGATAGAGTAAGAGTAGGCCAGCTCTGTGGAGGCCAAGGTGAATTAGAAAAGCAAGCTCGTGTCTTCTCTCCTCAGTGTAAACTACAGCATTAAAAACCTTTCCCTATGTTTATTTTGAGTTGGCTGAGGTTGCTGAATTTGATGCAAACATTTCGCCAGCAGGGCTTTGAGTTCTCCCACTAGGCTTATTAAATGGACAACAGCAGCTCCCTTTCCCCAGCTACAGAGTGACCGATCTTTCAATGTTTATTATTGTTTCATGCCTCTACCAACAGTGATGATTTTTGCTGAACTTTGGCATTTACTTTTGCCTTGAGTAATCCTCCTGTACCTTCATTAAATTTCCCTATAAATTCTCTTTCTTGGAATAGAAAATATCAATGTAAACATTAAATATTTAACATGCTCAAGTTGTATATTTCTCCTTTCCAACTCCGTCTCATATTCCTAGTTACGTCCCACCAAAGGGCCTCTTGCTAATTAAACAACTCACCTGACCTTCTTCCAAGAATTTCCACCGGATTGCATGCATCTTCTCCTCTAAAACAACTGAAACTCTAAATAGCATCATGACATCACTCCCTCAACCATCTCATCTTCTCTTATTAAATACTAAATAAGGCAAACATGTTAGGAGATCGTGTTTACGTTATGGTTGAAATGCAAAATTTACATGAAAAATAGCAGTGGCAAATAATATCCGAATTTTAGGAAAACTATTTCATATCTGACTTGCCTTTAGTTAGGATACTTCTATCATGGCAAAAGAATTACCATAAAGCAAGTTGTTTGTTTGGTGTTTTTTTTTTTTAAATCATCTATCATTTTCCAGATCTTTTACTCTTTAATCTTGTTAAAGATTATTTTAAAGTAAAAATAAATGTACCTATTCACCTGTAATTAAAGTTAAATGGCAATTTATTTTTCTGCCTTGAGTTTTCATTCTAGTTTATATCAAGAGATTTCCTTGATGCCTTATTTTATTGCTCAGCCCAATCTTAATCCTTTTGTTGTCATTCATCTGTAAACCCCATCTCACCCTGTCTCCAATGTAGCAGCCTTTCAAATCAATTAGATGACAGTACAGAGTTTAAGTTCCACGAGCAGAGACTAATTAAGGGATTCTGCTAGTACAAGCAAAAGTTAGTGTTAGAAGAGACCAAAAGCAGATACGTATTTTTAAAAGCATTTACTTTTCAGTCCATACCTTTAATTAGCTGCATAACTCCAGGGACTATAATTATCAGAATTGCTGTGAGCTTGCAAAAGGTTAGGAAAATCTGGATCCGGGCACTCCAGCTGACACTCATGCTATTTAGGACCATCACTACAGCTGCAAGTAAACAAGTGGAGTTAAAATGGTGAACCTTAGTGGAAATGAAGACATCTTAGACGCTTGTTATTCAAAATCTAGTCCATGAACCAGCAGTGTGGGCTCTGTTAGAAGCGTATTAGAAATTTCAGAATCTCTGACCCTACCCTATACATAATAAAAGAAAATCTACATTTTTACAAGATCTCCAGTGACTTTTAAACACATTAAAGTTTAAGGCAACTACCTCGATCATAATCTCTTAAAACTCAACACGCATTGTCATCATATCAATTCTAACTCAGTTTCCAAGGCTGTCAGTCTTAACCCATAGAAATGTCCCACTTTTCACCTGTGGAGCAGCAAACCTCCTGAGACACCGGGCCTTTGGATAAGTGTTGCATATGAGCCCCAGCCTCCAGAGAGTAATGCTTACTCTCCTATTCTTTGTCTTCTTCCTGGTAACAATTTCAATTAAACACTATGGACTGAATGACAACGAGTTGGATTGTTTTGGTTGTTGCTTGCATATGTTATAAAGAATGTATTATATAGTACTCTAACAATCACATAAAAGTAGTTTCCAACTGAATTCCAAAATACTATGCAATGAGATTGCTAAATTAAACACCTTAGCTCAATAAAACAGCTATTTCTTATCATGATGGTTACACACATATCAACGTGCTACCATGAATTACATTCAAAAAAGGTTAAAATGCAGAGAATTTAACTGATATTCTTCACTATTGAGATTAGTCTTCCTGGGTGCCATCAATCCATGTCTGACTCACAATGATTCTAGTAACAGAATGGAAACATCCCAAAAAGCTTCCTTGATTACAATTTTTACACAATTAGATCAACAGGTCTTTTCTTCCATGGAATGACTGGTGAGTTCCAAGCACAGTAATTAACTGTTGTGCCACCACTACGCTAGCTTTCACTAGCATTCTTATTTTTTTCCACTCCAATTTCCAACTGAAATACCAAGGACACTTTCAAACTCTTCAAAAAAAAAAATAAAAAGGCTTCCAAGATACCTTTTTTATTTAACAAAACGTTATAAGCAACCAGCCCAAAATAATTCCCAAAGATGCACACTGGGTCTGCAGCCAGAATAACTCCCTTTTCTTAATGTTATAGCAATTTCTAAGGTGAACCTTCAGAACAGAAAAAGTGCTGCACCTCTGTATTGCTAGTACCACTTCTAAGCCTATACCAGATACTCACTACAATAATAATCTTTTCTTAAATGTATGAATAAATCTATTAAACAGATCCTTACTTAGAAAACTATCTTTAACCAGAGAGGAAGAGTAGTAATTTATGAACTTCTCTCAAACCCTGATGGAATGATTGAGATAATTCTAGGCAGTAGATTTCAACTTTATGAATATTCCACAAACTTACTCCTCCTGTTAAGAACAAAACAAAACTAAAAAAAAAAAAAAAAAAAAAAAAAAAGATCTCTGGTGGCCTAGTGGCAAGAAGCTGTACTGCAATCCCAGAGGTAAGTGGATCAAGTCCACCAAATACTCTGCTGGAGAAGGAGGGACAATATTCTCCTGTACCAGTCAGATCTGACTTGACGGCACACACAAAAAATAATAATTTTTTTTTAAAAAATAGTTTGTTCTTATTATCCACAAGCTCTATTTTTAAAAAGCTTCATTCTCTCTATTTACACAATGACAAAAATGTAAAAAGATGTATCTCAGGGGATTAAACAAGAAAGAGATCTCTTATAATTCAAGTTGAAAGTTGGGAAAATTTTTCCTCTGTACAGTTGGTGGATAGCCTTTGGGAGGTCCCCAATTAAAAGAAGCCTGGAAGCAAGAGTGGCATCCACTTCCGTAATAGCTTGCCTCTGGAAACCCTATAAACCTGGAGAAAGGATGAAAGTCACACAAGTGTTGAGGACTTTCGTTCATAGGGTTGCTGTGAGTCATTGGCCTAGTGGTCAGAAAGTGATGCTACCAAGCCAAAGGTGGGTGACTCGAATATGCAGCCCTTAGGCCTGTTTTTAATTGTTTTTGGTCAAACTCTCTTCTAGGTCCTATAGCCTGGTGTGTCCACTTGCCGTACAGAGGTAACTTGTGATTGCTGTGAAGCTGAACACTGTGACATTGATGTGTCAAATGTGTTAATGGTTACCCATAGTGGACAGTGTGTTTGGCAGAGCTCCCTGATTAAAACAAGCTTGGAAGCAGGAGTGGCATCCACTTCCATAATAGTTTGCCTCCGGAAACCCTATGAACCTGGAGAAAGGATGAAAGTCACACAAGTGTTGAGGACTTCCTTCATAGGGTCTCTATGAGTCACCTATGACTCAATGGCACTTAACAACATTCCCTGAATTTATTAACTATGATATATTATTAACTAGCTCATTTCAGACATTATGAATCACCACAAACTAACAATGATAAACAGAATTTCCAAACCCACCTCTGTCAAGTTGAATCTAAGTCACAGTGACTATACAGGACAGAGTAGAACTGCTCCATAGGGTTTCCAAGACTGCACTCTACAGAAGCAGACAGCCAGAACAGAAGTAGACCTGCTAGTGGGCTCAAACTTCCACCTTTCATTTAGCATTTGAGCATTTTAACCACTCTGACACTAGAGTTTCTTTTTTGAAATCATAACAAACCTAAGACATAGTAGAAATCACTAATAAGGCTTTTTGGGGTTTTGGTTTGGTGTTTTTGTTGTTGTTGGTTTTGTTTTGTTTTGTTTTTTAATGTGAGTAGACTGGAGGAATGATTGAGCGGGTTCAAGCTGCCAACCATTTGGCTATCAGTTTACTTATTTCACTGCCAAGGCTCTTTTCTTAACCTTAACAATAGACTTAATAAATAATCTACTTTGAATATGTTCTGCTTTTTTCTTTTCAGATTTTTAAAGAAAAAACTATTGTGCATATAGCTTTGGTCCATAAATGAGGAAACCTAGGATGTACTTAATATTTTAATTCAGTAATACATATAGTCAAGATATATTTATATATAATTTCTCTTCTTCTAAATCAACTATTCTGTTTTCTACATTGGCTTTCCAAGGCTGAGGAGAATGGGCAAACTCATCTCATGCCTACTGCCTCTGTAAACCTGCTGGAGGGTCGGCTATGGGTCGGCCTCAGCTTGATGGTACACAGTAATAACAACAATGTTTATTGGAAGTGATCTTTAAGACTTTGTTCCCATGGAGCCACTGACAAATTCAAACTTCTGGGCTTCTGGTTAACAGCCAAGGGCTTGGACATTACACAACCAGGGATCCTCTTTGCATATTCGTTAAATATTTTTTAATTATGTATGAGAAGACTTTGTTTTTGTTGGGTTGAAACAGCCCAGCCACATGTAACTAAAAATTCTATCATGAGTATGCAATTAATTTATTTCTATGTAGCTTTCTAATTCAGAGTAGTTATAACTCAATCAAAAGATCATCTTGATTAAAGCAACAATTTGATTAATATCTAGAATTAAGTTCTCCTTTTCCATAATATTCTAGGGCTCAGAATTTAGACTTTCATAGGAAAAACAAAAATTGTAGTCTCATTCATACAATTTTGTACAAGTTCCTCTTTTTCATTATCTTGTTAAAATATTATCTGTGCCCACTATAAAAATTAACAACTTTCTAATTTAGATGGAATAAAATTCCTAGTTAAAATATGAAACTAAAAATCAAACAAAAGATTCTTATCATTATCATCAGCAGGCAGTTCAAAGTGACAGCTACTAACACAATAAAATATGTTAACATAATTTAACACAATTTTTTATGTATAATCCATTTATAGTCTTATTAACAGTGTGGTTTTTATTTTCTTATTTTAAAGGTTATATATCATTATCTTCTGGCCAATACAAAACGGATATGTAATATCAGTTCAGAGATCACTCCATATTCTTACTAATTTATTTTCAAAAACACACTTGACAAGAAAAAAGAAACACATAGAACACAATGTTGACAGAACCCCACTATGTAACAAAGATTATATAAACTGTGCCCAAACACTTTGTTGGTGGTGTTGTCATTTTTCATGTTTATAATACTCACTTATGCCCACAGCTGTAATGAGCTTGATTGCAAGTTCAGGAATTTCACAATGAATAAAAAATGGCTCCAAAATATATCGTCCAAATGCCAGGGATATCACAGCAGTGGCTGCAGGGCTAGATAATATAAATTAAGCTTAACTACAAGAAAAAGAAGACAAATAGCATTCCCACCATTTTTTTCCTTTCCATGAAGAATCATTATTCAACATTTGTAACATGGACCAAAAAAATCTATAATTTTCAAAATTTCATGTTTCATTAGGTTCCTATAGACTTTACAAATGAAGTATTGTCAATAACACTTGTGGCAATTTCAAAATTTACTGCATATTTAAGAACAAATCTTATTTACTACTTCATATAATTACAGAACTATACCTAACAAAAACCAGACTTTTGTTTAATTTTTCCCCCAGCAGTCAATTATTAAACTCTAGCCCAATGATGAGTTTACTAACTGGCACCTATCTAATGGTTTTGGCCTCGTCAGAGGAATGAATAGATTACTCAAACTTGGTTTTTGGAGGTTTGATTTTTTTTTTTTAAGGTTTAATTCTTATTTGTAAATAGACTTTTATGTTTAATACTGATTTATTCATATTTTTCCTGTATGAACATAAATTTGAAGAGTCAAGGGATTATACTTAATTCTATAAAATTATGTAAGTATAAGTATTCATTGAAAAGTAAAAAATACTTTTTAAAATAGTTTCTTTTCTATTGGTTTTGCATACAAAATTCATATACATTGTATTTAATTCATATACATTTTGTTTCACACATTCATTTATTCACATTCTGTTTCATATGATACTTCTCTACATTGTTTTTATAAAATTAATCATTACCTTCTTGTAATTTTACATAATTGAAAAAAAATGCATGACACAAACATAGACAATAAGTTTAAGTACATAGAAAAACAATTTGGAAACTGTTCTATCCTAATTTCTTCAAATATTCCTGTAAGAGAATTAAACAAACCATATTGCTTTACTTTCGGCAGAATATTAAATGATCCAGGAAGTATTAAAAGAAGATGGAAAGAATATACTGAGTCACTGTGTCAAAAGAAATTGGCAGACACAGAAGAATTTAATGAAATAACATATGAGTAAGAGCCTATGGTGATGAAGGAAGAAGATCAAGCTGCTTTGAAGGAAATAGAGAAAAATAAGGCCCCAGGAATAGATGGTATACAAACTGATGTATTTTAGCTAACTGATATGCCCTGGATGTGCTCACCAAGTTGTACCAAGAAATCTAGAAGAGATCTTTATTCGTTCCCATCCCAAAGAAAGGTGACCCAACAGAAAGTGGAAACTATAGAACAATATCATTGATTTCACATGCAAGCAAGATTCTAGTGAAGATTATCCAAAAACGACTGGAACAGCACATCAGCAGAGAACTGCCAGAAGTCCAGGCTGGGTTTAGAAGGGGTCGTGGTACTAAGGATATTGTACCTAATGTTAAATGGATCTTAGCTGAAAGAGGGAATACCAGAGAATATCTATCTGTGTTTCATTGTGTTTCAATGCAAAGGGGTTTGACTGTGTGGATCATAACAAACTGTGGCTGACTCTGAGAAGAATAGGAATCCCAGAACACTTAATCGTGCTAATGCAAAATCTATACTTGGACTAAGAGGGAGTCATCAGAACAGAGCAAGGAAACACTGAATGGTTGAAACTTGGGAAGGGTGTGCGCCAGGGGTGTGTCCTATCTCCATACCTTTTCAACCTGTAGACAGAACAGATTATCCAAGAGGCTGGGCTCTATAAGGAGAAGTGTGGCATCAGGATTGGTGGAAGATCTATCAACAATCTGTGTTATGCAAATGACACAACCCTGCTTGCTGAAACTGAGGAGGACTTAAAGCGCTTGCTGCAGAGGGTCAAGGAGTGCAGTCTTCAATATAGATTGAGGTTGAATATCAAGAAGACAAAGATTTTCACCACTGGACCAATTGGCAGCATCAAGATGGATGGTGAAGAGATTGAGATTGTTAACAACTTTAGTCTGCTTGGCTCCACAGTCAACACTCTTGGCACCAGCAGCCAGGAAATTAAAAGACACATTGCAATGGGAAAGTCTGCTGTTAGGGACCTCTCCAAAGTACTGAAAAGTAATGGTGTCACTCTGGAGACTAAGGTGTGTCTGATCACTTGTTGTGCATCAGAAAGTTGGACAATGACTAAGGAGGATAGCAGGAGAATTGATGCCTTTGAGCTGTGGTGCTGGAGAAGGGTATTGAGTGTACCACAGACTGCTAAAAAAACAAACAGATTCAATCTGGAGAGGGTTAAACCAGGCTGCTCCTTGGAGACAAGGATTCTGGGGCTTCGTTTGACATATTTTCGACATGTTGTAAGAGCAGACCGGTCCTTGGAGAGGGACATCATGCTTGGGAAGGTGGAGGGACAACGCAGGAGGGGAAGACCCTCTATGAGGTGGATTGATTCAGTGACTGGGGTAATCAGGATGGGTGTGACAAAGGTAGTGCAATTGGTAAGGGATAGAGCAGGGTTTAGGGCTGTTGTACATAGGCTTGCTATGAGTCGCAAGCAATTCGACAGCATATAACAACGATTATTCACTTGTCAACTTGTTATCTAATAGTTAGCATTTATAACAACAGTAAAAAAATATCTACAAACCAGTTGTTTTAAACATTAACAAAATACATGTAGCAATAATAAATGTTGAGGTGTGAGAGTAATGCTGCCTATGACGACCCGTGTTATATGTCAACTTGGCTGAATCATGCATGTTTCTCAGCTTTTTGAGCTATGCAATGATGTAATTTGACATTGATTTAGTCGTCTTCTACTTTTACACAACAATCTAGTCATTAAGCATGTTGAGAAGTAAGGAATGCATGTATACGTATAAGGAAACATTTGTTCTTTAAATACATAAGCAAGTAGGTTAAATTATTTCAATTTCTTATGATAACTTTCCCTAAATTTTTCTTCTTTCTAAGACGCAACATTCTGGCCTCATCCTTGGAGTATTAATAATACAACCACTAGCATATGGTCCCAATCTTGGCCTGCTTGTTGGAACCATTAGAAATTTCATCAGTCTCTTTTCTTCCCCCCAAAGTATTATCACTTTCTTCAGTCTCTTTTTTCACTAAGAGAGTTTCTCTCTTTCCTTCAAGCAAGATAATTTGCTCCCCTATTCTTGATCATTTGTGAATTCTGTCAATGTTTAAGTCAAAGTCTAAGTCATTTTAATATTTTCAAATACACTCCACATACACAGAAATTATTTCAATTGCATCCTTAACAATTCATAACAAGATTTCATCAGGTCTAAAAATCTACCTACTTCTGGGTGTTACTCTCAGTAAATGAATCTGAATGCCTTCTTGCTGAAGTTCTTTCAACTTATTAACTTTGTTCTTCCTTAACGTCTTAGTTTAATTTTGCTCTATCCAAAGACGCTTCTCTGACCCTTTGATGATCAGAGCACCAGGGTTTACTCTATCACATAAAGTCATCGTGTTAGCGAGGATAATAATTTTATTTTCACTGATAGGACTTCTTAATTAATGACTATTTCCTCCACCCTGAGGAGTGTAAGTACATGACTATGTCCATGTTCATCTCTATTACCCACTGTACTTATTGTATTATCTGTCATGTAGTAGGAGCTCAATATTTACTCACCATATATTGAATAAATAAATTGAATCAAATAAGCCTTGCTAAGTAATGATGGATATTATTTCTTTCATTATCACCTATGTTTTACATTTTATTTATGGCAACAGTGATTTAATCTGACAATATTACAATAATGAGAAGTACTTACATATCAAGAGTGTTAAGAAGTAGAAGAAAAATGCTAAAACTATCCAGGCAATCTCTACCTTTAAAAAAAATTGTTTGATACAAAGTTCATATATGTTGTTTTTCACACCAGATCTTTCCCATTTTGTTTACCCTTCCCCACCCATCAAATTATGTGACCCTATGATTGACATCCCCCCCTTACCAATCCTCACCCCTCTACTCCTCCCACCCTTGGATCCTAATATACCTTCTACAATAATGGTCTTATACAATATTTATCCTTATGGGACTGAATTAGTTCACTTAGTGTAATGCTGTCCAGTCCTTCCCAAGTTAGGAAGTGATTTATAAAATCTTTGCTCCTGAGTGCTGCCAAGTATCCCATTGTATGAATGTATGACAATATCTCAATCCCTTCGATTGTGATTGGATATTTGGGCTGTTTCCATGTTCTTGCTATGGTGAATAATGCTGCTGTGAACATGAGTGTCCAAGTATCCGTTTGTGCCTCAGTTCTCATTCTTTTGGGGTATATACGAAGCAGTGGAATAACTGGGTCATATGAAATTTCTATGTTCAGCTTTTGAGGAAGCACCAAACTGGTTTTCAGAGTGGTTGTACCATTTTATAATCCCTCAATAATAAATATGAGTTCCTATCTTGCTGTATCTTTTCCAACATTTATTACTTGCTGTGCTGTTAAACTTTGCCACAGCTATTTGAGTGAGATGGTATCTCATTGTGGTTTTGACTTCCATCTCTCTTATTGCCAGTGATTTTGAGCATTTCTTTATGTGCCTGTTGGTCATCCGAATATTTTTCTCTGTGAAAATTCTGTCCATGTCTTTTGCCCATTTTGTAATTGGTTATAAGGATTTGGTATTCTTTTTTCCCCCCTGTGTAGTACCTGCAGGATTCTGTAAACTTTTGATATGAGACCCTTGTCTGAAATGGTATTGTCAAATGCTTTTTTTCCCCATGCAGTAAGTTTTCTTTTCACTGTGTTGGGAAAAGTTTTTTATGCACACAGGGATTTAATCTTTAGAAGGTCCCATTCATCAATATTATCCTCTCCAGATTGTACATTTCTGGCTATATTTGTAAGTCTCTTTATACCATAGAATTGACTAAGCTAGATCCCGGTTTGTTTCTGATGAACTTTATGGTTTGGGGCTTTACTCCCAGGTCTCTGATCCACTTTGAGTTGATTTTTTTTTATATTGTGTGCGATGTGGATCTTGTTTCAGCTTTCTGCAGGTAGCAGTTCAGTTTTGCCAGCATTATTTGTTGAAGAAGTTGTCATTTCCCCAG